TGATTATTACGTTTTAAATATGGTTATTTTTCTTACAAAAACGATCGATTCGCTACAGGCCTTTGTTCACCCTTCATTTCACTTCTTTTGGACTGATGAACTGCAACACCCACTGAGTGGCATTAGACAGCTTGGAAGATCAAAGACAATTTTTTATATAACTCCGACTGGATTCGTCTGAAAGAAGAAAGTCATATACACCTAGGATGCCTTGAGGGTGAGTAATTCATGGGCTAATTTAAATTTTTGGGTGAACTAACCCTTTAACAATACAGAATTTAAAGCAACTGTATGTCCGTTTTTTTACCTTCAAATGTAAGTTTAAAAACCATGTTGATGGTTCACCGACATCTCATAAAGCGAACGGCTTCTGTTTCTTTCCCCAATGTCTGTTTTGGGAGTGTGTAAGTTTGGTGAGCGGGTACGAAATTCCACAAAAAGGAGATTGCTTTACGGCAGCAACAAATGCATGGCTGTTTCTCACAATTGCAAATTATGAATTCGTCATTGTAAATTTGTAATTCTAACACTTTTTCTCAAAATTGCAGTTATAAATTAATTGCTCGAGTTTACATTTTGCGATTCTGACATTCTGAGTTTGAGTTTACATTTCATTATTTTATTATTTTTTACTTGTTTCATCTCATAATTCATGTTTTTTCATAATTGTGACTTTGTAACTTGTATTTAAGCATATAAACGTGCAATTCTGAGATATATAGAATTCTATAAAAATATTATTGTGCTATTAAAAGCCACAATAATATTATTTATTTAAAAAAAAAAAAGTATGCTGTGGCGGAAATAAGATTTCATACTGTCAGATTGGTCAGGATTATCAAATAAACTGAATCATTTGATTAATAGCACTACATTCTTAAGCTTTTCAAGTGAATCACCCTATGAATGCTTTCTTTTTTTATATTTATTTTAATGCTATTTAATGATTTGTTAATTGCATTTAAGATATAATTTCAATAAGACATTTGGTTTTGGGGTTTGTAAAAGCTGTTTTTGTTGTAGTTACACAGTTTTGACCAACAGGCGTCGCCAGCGTGTGGCGTTTCGAACGCTTCGAAACAGTGAATCATGTTGATGCTTCGAAAAGGTTCGTTTCTGCAATCGTTATCGTCAACGGTCTTCAACCCTTGAAAATAAAAGTTCGGATTAGCTTGAAGAAATTATAACATATATTACTATTGTACAGTAAAACGTACCTCTCAAAATAATAATAATAACAACAATAATAATACAGTTAATAAAAAAAAAAAACATTTTTAAAAAGAATATTAGCCTACATTAATTTCCATCCATGTTTTCCAAAAATACATTTATATAGAAAATAAATAAATAGAGCATGTCATTTTAAAAATAAAGTTGTTTAAACTTTTCAAATATTTAATGACAGCTCAGAGGCAATGCAGATGTATCAAACGTGAGTGTCAAAATAAAGGTGCATCTTAAAAAATACTGTAGCCTATATGTTTTTTTACATGTTGCATCAATACATCATATTGTTTGTCATTTAACGGATACATTGATCCATATCGAGGTATTGTTACACCCCTACTGTTGTTTGCTAATCAGTTATATTAACATCAAAGCTGTGCAATATATAAAAATATATAAAATATGTAAAGTTGTACCAGAGCTGAATTTGTGTATATTATACAAACAGAATGAAGTACCAGGGATTGTGTCCACCTGTACCGCGCACTGAGGAAGACTTCGACCCTGGTGCGAAGTTCCACATCCCAGCTAATGTGCCCTACGTCAGGTAGACAATAAAATATATCACTAATGTGGAAAGATCTTGCATCTATCATGTTACACAACTCATGTAATCAAATAAGCCTTTGGATTGACCATTTATTTGGTTTGGCTCCAAAAGGTACTTTGTGAGTTTTGTAATCCAGTTCCAGTTCCACAAAGCCCTGTGTGAAGCCGCCGGTCAGCCAGCTCCGCTCCACAACTGTGACATCTACCAGTCCAAAGAAGCAGGGAAACTCCTGGGGTCAGTAAATGACTGAGAACTGTTTCCAGTTTTTACAAGCACTGGGAGCAATAAAGTAGTAAGATTTTATAGTCTCATCATTTTTGCTCGCGAGTAAAAGAGCTCTACTCCCTCCTCCTCAGTGATGTGATGAAGATGGGCTTCAGTAAACCCTGGCCCGAAGCCATGACTTTGATTACTGGCCAGCCCAAAATGTCAGTCCAGCCTCTGATGGAGGA